TGGTAAGAACACATTCTTTACAGATATTTTGTGCAAACTATTAGAAGGTTATTCGAACCCTAATATGACAAACTTAGAAAACATCTGTGGCAAGTTTAACTCCTCAATAGAGAACATGAAACTTATAGTTTGCAATGAACTTCAAAGTATAGATACAACAAAAGTTTTGAACTCAGATGCTTTGAAGAGTCTTATAACAGACAAAGTTGGAGTTGTTGAAAGAAAGTATAAAGACCAAAGAGTTTGTGAAAATGTTGCAAACTTCATTATGGTTTCAAACAATACTGTTCCGATGAAGTTAGAAAGTTCTGACAGAAGATATGTAGTTGTCAGAACGTCAGATTCTCATATGCAAGATACAGAATATTTTGACGACTTAGCAGAAACTTTGACATCTGACTTTTACAACCACTTGTTCTCATATTTCATGACATTAGATATTTCTAAGTTCAATCCAAGACAAATTCCACATACCGAAGAGAGACAAACATTGTTAGAAGCAAACAAGAGTGTATATGAACTGTTCATAGAAGAAACTGACTTTGTGTCATTAGATGAAAAGTCTTTATATGATGAATATAAACAATATTGCCAAGAATATGGTTATATGGCAGCTTCTAAACGAACATTCTTGGCAAATGTCAAAAATCTTTTAGATGTTCAGAACGGCGTATATACAAAGAAAAATTTTTCTGAGTAAATTTTAAAAAAATATTTTTTTATCCGATAGAAAAGATGGCAAAATTCATCTCAGTAAATAAGTACATGACAGCAGTCAAAGATAAGTTAGCTCCATTCGCATATTTGAATGTTTACTTCTACCATTTTGAAAAGTCTTCATTCAGCAAAGTTTGGAACATCGAACCAGTTAAGTTTGCTATTGTGACTAAAAATGGTGCAACTTTTGAAGACTTAGACATAGAAGGTTTGTTAACAGTCAAAGAAAATTTTGACAGAAAGTTCTCAAAACTCGAAGAAGGTAAAGCATACAAACTTGTTATACCTTATGAACCAAAGAAAGCAGACGACTATGAATATTATGAGTCTAAGATAGTTGAAGTTCAGGGTAGATTGGGTAAAAAGATTTTAGAGTCTAAGCCAGTGTTTGCCCCTAAAGAGGAAGAAACATTGACATTGACCCAGAAATGTTCTAAAAATAAATTTTATTTTTACATGTCATATCTCACCTTCTCTGGAACTGGTTCAGGTTCTTTCTTCTCTTCTACTTTCTTTTCTTTCTTTTTTCTTTTCTCTCTTCTTCTTCTTTTCTGGTGGAGTTATGTCAAATTTCTCAGAACCATATTTATGTAAAAGGTCTTTGTCCTTTAATAGCTCTTCTATTCTGTTTTCTATTTCATCTTCAAGAACAGCGCATGTGTCTTCTTTGCATTCTAAGAACTTTTGTTGGACTTCATCTTTCCAAGAGGCGTCATCTCTGTCAACAAGTCTGTCATTGACAAACTTAAAGACTTCTCTGCCTAATGTTTTATGGTTCTTGTCATATTCCCAGAAACAGAACTTTAGAACAAATTCACCTTTCTTGTTGACACAATGTAAGATTTTATGGTCGACAGAAGTTTTAGAGTCGAAAAGTTTGTCACGGACATAGATAGCGAAATCGCTAGACATTTCCTAAAAGATAAAATTTTTAATTTTTCTAAAAATATGTTAGAAAAAAAGTTTGCTGACATTGACAAGAAATTTGAGAATGTTTTAAACAAGAACAAGAGAAAGTTAGAAAATGCTCAGATAAAGCCTATACATGACAAGTTCTTATTTGCTCAGAATGGTATAACAGGTCTAATTGCACCACCTGGGTCGGGTAAGACTTTCACTTATCTTAAAATGGCTGCACAACAACAAGAACTAGATGAGAAGAACCCATTCTATGAGTTAGTTGTTATTTGTAGTACTTCTGGTCAATTTGACCAAACCGTCAATTCGTTCAAAGATATTATAAAGAAGTCTAAGTTAGTATGTATAAAGGATACTGAGTTGTTAGATTGGATAAAGAAGTACCAAAGAAGAGTTTTGAAGTACAATGCTATAAATGAGTATATAAATTCGAAGTTTAAAGACCCAAATGAGGAAATGCAGAGAATATTAGAGAAGAAACACTTCAGAAACAAACAGAAAGAGATAGAATACATTTCGAAGAAATTGCAATCTTACGATTGGAAGACATACCCTCATAGGTGTCTTCTTATCTTAGATGACTTTGCTTCTCATCCTTTGCTTAAGAATAGAGAACAAGATATGTGTCGAATTCTTAAGAAGCTCAGACACTTTAACATCTCAGTCGTAATATGTGTACAGACAGCAAAGAGTTTAAGTAAGGATGTTAAAAGAATACTTACTGACATTATACTCTTCCCTGGATTGTCCGAAGACGATTTCATGGAACTTATGAAAGAGTCCATGGCAGGTAAGTTTGACAGACATGAACTATGGGAGAAGTACAAAGTCATACAAGACCCTCATACTTCTTTCAGAATTCATATCTACGCAAACAAAGTTCAAATTGTAAAAAGTCAAGCGTAAAAAATAAATGGTTAGTCTTAGTCTGTTGTGGTTCTGCAGCTTTCGGTTCTTCTGGCTTTGGAAGACATTCAGGAAGAGGAACGTCGGACATTCGTTTGTGTCCTGTCGGAAGGAAAATTTTTTCCAGTTGTCGGGAAAATTTTTTCCTGTCGGAAGGAAAAATTTTTTCTGTCGGAAGGAAAAACTTTTTCTGTCGTTCGACCAAAAAGTTCTCAATTTTCGAAAATTTGAATGGTTTACGGACGAACAACAGGAAATTTTTTTCCAGTTGGAAGGAAGGACTTGGAATGTCGGAAGGAAGGACTTGGAATGTCGGAAGGAAGGACTTGGAATGTCGGAAGGAAGGACTTGGAATGTCTGAAGGAAGGACTCGGAATGTCGGAAGGAAAAACTTGGAATGTCGGAAGGAAGGACTTGGAATGCCAGAAGGATTTGACAAGGCAATTTACTTTATAGAGCTACCTGAGCCATCTGAAGTCAAGCTTGAAAAATAAATGGTTCATCTACCCTACTTGTTTGAAGTTGTCAAAATACTCTGTTATTTTTTCCTTCAGTAGCGGTAAGTCTTCTTTGAATGTAAGTATTGTACAACCTTTCATATCATAGTGTGTTTGAGGTAACGTATCTTGAACTATTTGTTTCACATCTTCATTCGGTGTCATTGAAATCGGTAAGTTTTCGCGATAGAACCAATTTCTGTCAGATTTGTAAATCTTAGCAAGGTCGTAAAAAGCTTTTGTTGTTTCTTTCTGACTAAATGCAACATAACCATATCTTTATCTTCTTCATTTTCCATCTCTTCAGTATAAATCATATACTTATAGTTCTTTTCCTTTCCTTTTGGTACCGAACGTGGTATTCTTTTCTGAATGCTTTTGTCTTTTGCTTCAATGACTTCATCTTTTGCATGAAGTTTCTTTTCCATCTCTTCACGTTCTTGTCTATGAATTTCATCTAACATCATGAAAATATAACAAGCATAACGAGGTGAAGCCCACATTGCTACGGCATTTACTAAAAGTCTATGAACATAATATCCTTTCAAACAAGGAGCCAAATTCTTGCGATTTTCGAATGGAATCTCTTCCCTCGGTTTTCCGAGGGAAGCAAACATATGAGGAAATTCTTCTAAAAGTTCTTTTGTCTGTTGGTTTTCAAACCAATGATATGCTTGCTTTGTAGAACGAAGAGCATTCAAAATACTTTGCATTTGGTACATATCGTCTTTGACCGAACGAATGAGACGGAGTTGTTTGTTAAACTGAACCCATTCATATTCTTCATTTATGGCTTCATGGACTATAACTGTTGTTGTGTTCTCTGTTGTTGACATATCTGTCTTTACATACAAAATAAAAAAATAAAAAAAAATAAAACTAACTTTATTTTTTCTATCTTGTATAAAAGACCAAAAATAAACGCTTTACATGTATTTTTCAGCAACTTCGTCAAATAATTTTATAGCTTTATCTATCTCATCTACTTCAAACGTTTCTTTACCTTTTATGGGAGCACCATACATTTTCTCAAACTTTTCAAGTAGTTCTGTTTCAGCAGCTCTCATATCATTTACAAACACAACCTTAACTCTATTGACTGTATTGTCATATCTTTTAGTTATATTAAATGTTCTTCCTATCTTATATCTCTTTGTATTGAAGTCCTTCGGTTTCTGAACGATGTAAAGTAAGCCTTCACTGCAACGTTCCGTATCGAATGAACCATATGTTATGAAGTTATATCCAACAACTGGGTCTAACCATAACAAAACTATTGGTATAAGACTTTTGTCTATAAGATATGCTGCAGTTCCATAGAATCTTACTGATATCATAAGCTCAGGATTTCTTGTCAAAATTTTCTGAGTAGAAGCATTTTTAACCCAGTCCTTTGCTTTCTTTCCAGATAGTGTTAGAATGTCTGACAAAGAATATTTGTTGTATTTCTTTGAGTATCTTACGTTTAAATCACCAATTCGAACCACTTTGGTGTCATTGTCTATCTTTCTAACTGTTTCAAACTCAACCTTTAACATTTTCTGTTCTTACATACAAGATAAAAAAAATATTTTACAAAAAACTAACTTTTTTTTTCTATCTTAAGGAAATTCATGATTTCATAGAGTTTTTTTACGAAGTGTAAAAGTTCTCTTCGTCAAAAATACAGTTATATAATGAAATTTGGTCATTTTTTTCAGCAAAAATATATTTTAGGGTAGATGGTTTTTAGGTGTCACCAGGTCCCTCGGTCCCTCGGTCCCTCGGTCAACTAACATCTTTTTGAAAATGGTGACAACATGACATTTTGACAACAACACAGGAAATAAACTTCTTCGTACATGTTTTGTCAAGACTTCTTCGTAATGAGCGTAAATCAGACAAAAATAAAGTTTATGTTAGAATGTTAGATCTAACCTGTTTTCTAACCTCTTTTCTAACCTCTTTTCTAACCTCTTTTTTTCACAAGCGTTTCACATGGTAAACGTTATGAATTCGTGAAATTCTAAACAATTTCGTAGCTTCTATTTCTTCTTTTAGTACATCGAATGTTTTAACTATGCCGAAAGTCTCTTTATATTTCTTCTTGACGTCAGATAGAAGGAAATCTTCTGCTGTTGGATAGTTTTTGTTCAGAAATGCTAACATGTCCATTTTATTTTCTGCTGGTTTTTCTGCTTCTTTCTTTAAGTCAGCATAGTCGTTTCGCATACGTTCTATCTCTTTGACGGAGTAGTTATATTTCCTCATTGCTGCTTTACATTTAGAACATTGCGGATTCATTTTTGCGTTATATTCTGAAACCTTACCTGCTAAAACAACTAAGGCGTCAATTGCTCTCTTCATCTCAAACATAGCGGGTCTTATTTGTTCGTTCCATACCTTACCCCTACTATCTTTATCTCTTATTTCCCAAACACATTTTGCAACTAACGAAACAAAGTTGTCGTAGGTCTTAAACTCCCCGGATTTATATATGTCAGAGATGTTCTTATATACCATATCGCAATCTTTGTCCATAACCTTATGGTTGCAATGAAATCCTAGAAACTCATAGTTTACCTTTCGTATGAACTTCTTTATTTCTACTGAGTCAGTCAGTCCGACTTCTATTTCGTCAAATTCAGGAATAGTTAGTTTTTGTTGTTGGATTTCAGGTAGTTTAGGTAAATGGTCAATAATGTCCTGCATTTCATAAAGATACTGTTCATTTGTTTCATCTTTCGCACTACAGTCTAAATTACTTGTTAAAAGTTCTTGCTTTATCTTCTGGATTTCTGTTTCGAAAGTATATGAAGAAGGAATGAAGCTTTTCATCTCTACTAACATAGATGTTGGGTTCATGACTAACGAGTTTGGTGCTGTTGTTGCTAACATGTTCTTACAATAAAAATAAAAAATATTTTTTTAAAAATACTAAAATATATTTTTTATGTTTTTTGTGAAAGTGTCAAAACTCATGAATTTCATGAGTTTTCTACGATGTTAGAAAACGTGTTAGATCTAACATTCTAACATAAAATATATTTTTGGGTCATTTACGCTCATTACGATGAAGAAGTCTTGACAAAACATTTACGATGAAACCTTGACAAAACATTTACGTTCATGTTTGACAAAACATTTACGATGAAACCTTGACAAAACATTTACGTTCATGTTTGACAAAACATTTACGAAGAAACCTTGACAAAACATTTACGAAGAAGTCTTGACAAATTCAAGAGGGTAGAAATGAGGTTAGAAAACAGGTTAGATCTAACCTTCTACCCTAAAATATATTTTTGGGTCCTTTACGCTCATTACGATGAAGAAGTCTTGACAAAACATTTACGAAGAAGTCTTGACAAAACATTTACGATGAAACCTTGACAAAACATTTACGAAGAAGTCTTGACAAAACATTTACGAAGAAGTCTTGACAAAACATTTACGAAGAAGTCTTGACAAAACATTTACGATGAAACCTTGACAAAACATTTACGAAGAAGTCTTGACAAAACATTTACGAAGAAGTCTTGACAAATTCAAGAGGGTAGAAATGAGGTTAGAAAACAGGTTAGATCTAACCTTCTACCCTAAAATATATTTTTGGTGAATTCAATAAAAATAAATGGTTCATTTACTCACAATATTTTTGTACAAAACGACCCCAAACTTTTAACTTCTTTTCTGCAGCTTCTAATGCTATCTTAGCGAGTTCATATTCTCTAAATTCTCTCTTTAAATCTTCTTGTTCCCATTGGTCTAGTTCGTATGGCGAGTCTCTATAACCAGAACATATCTCACGTTCATGTTCTATTTGTTTTTCATGCATTTTTCTAACTTCTTCTTCGAACAAAGGTTTTGCATTCTCTACTGTATCTTCAAGTTCTTCTTCATCTAATTTCTCATGAACTTTCTTGTCTATGGAGTCCAGAATTTTTCCAACTGCTATACAATATTTTGGAGAAGCCCACATTGCTATATAGTTTACAAGTCTTGGGTCTACATACGTTCCTCTAACCTGTTTGATTTCATCAGGAATTCCTGCATGAACTGTGTATAAAAAGCAACCCGCGGAATTCCGCGGGTTGGTATATTCTTCACAAAATGCCTCAAAATACTCTTCCCAGGACTTATTTTCCAACAACCTTCTAAAGTCCTTCCTAAACTGCTGACACATATTTGTTGCATTTATATAACCATCCTTGTCTCTACGTAAGACTTCAATACCGTTGTAAGTGCCTTTTGTGAATGTTTCGCCATTAGATTTGTTCGTGAACGTTTTTGCTTCGACTGTCATACTGTTCTTACAATAAAAATAAAAAAATATTTTTTGGTGGGACGTCGGACATTCGTTTGTGGCTTAACCGTCGGACCACAACGATAAAAATCTCGACAAAACATATACGATGAAGTCTCAACAAAACATTTACGATGAAGTTTCGACAAAACATTTACGAAGAAATCTATTTCCTGTGTTGTTGTCAAAATGTCATGTTGTCACACTTTTTCAAAAAGATGTTAGTTGACCGAGTGACATGGTGACACCTTCAGTAAACATCTCATTTTAACTCACTTTTTTTCTATCTTAAGGAAATTCATGAAAATTCACCTGTTGAACTTTGTATAAAAAGCAACCCGCGGAATTCCGCGGGTTGGTATATTCTTCACAAAATGCTTGTTTTGAGGTCGAGCCACTTTTGGCTCCACCGTATTCTTTCAACCAAAAACTCATTTTTGTCGAATTCAGCACAAAATTCATGAAAATTCAAGAGGGTAGAAAACGTGTTAGAAAACGTGTTAGATCTAACATTCTAACATAAACTTTATTTTTGGTGTAAATTTCATGAGTTTTCGAGAGTTTTAGACCATGTTAGAAAACGTGTTAGAAAACGTGTTAGATCTAACATTCTAACATAAACTTTATTTTTGGTGTAAATTTCATGAGTTTTAGACCATGTTAGAAAACGTGTTAGAAAACGTGTTAGATCTAACATTCTAACATAAACTTTATTTTTCAATACTTTTTCAGCACTTTTCCGTAGTTATATATGAAAGACAATTCGAGATAAAAGTCATAGTACAATGGAATAATATGTTGCACACCGTTTGTTGTGAACCAGACTTGAAAGTCAGAGAAACTGTTACTAGGTGGTTCGTAGAATTTAGAAGCAAAGTCATAAAAGTCCTTACCGATACAAAGAAAACTGTTGTTGCTTGAACTGAAACTTGCATGACACATAACATTTTGAGGGTCGAACACGTTTCTATAAACTGTCAAATCTGTTGGTGGGCGTATAAATTTAAACGGACCGTCAGGTGGTAATGGTTCGTTCTGGTTTAGTAACCGAAGAAATTGTGCCCAAGAACGTTTGTCTACTTCCCAAAATAAAAACTGTGTATCTCTTGGAGGGTTATTTTCAATCCTTTGAAATGAAACTGTGGAGTTCATCTTGTCATATTCTAGTTTCAGATAGTAAGTTCCGTTTAGTAGAGAGTCGTATTTTTCTTGCAATTCCCAATAATATTTGTTCATTTGAGTTTGAAAGTCATTTAGAGTCTTCTCAAGGTTTTCGTCTGAACGAACTGTAAAGATTCTCATTTCGTCAAATTTGTCTATTAGACCATCAGAACCTCTATACTGACCATGAAAATATACTGCGAACATAAATGCGTTAGTTCTTTTTGAAAACAAAACTCTTCTAAATCCTATTGCCTTTGCATCTGAAGGACTTTGAAGCCAACGAATTGGATAGTCAAACCTGTAAGTACGGGATGAAATTTCTTCATCTGATATAGTCCTACCGGCATTTGTGAAGATATAGTCTAACGGTTTTGTATCTGCTACTTTTGTTCTTTGTTTTTCAACCTGAAACATTTAATATATGTAAAAATATACTGTTTTAAAAAATGTTTTAAAATGGTATGCCATTTCATATTTCTCATCTAACAAACATGTTGTCTGACTGCTTGAGGGTTAGGTTGGTACCATTCGAGCTTGACACTTGCAATTCCTTCAATTGCATTCAAAATGTCTGAGTCGGAGTCAACCATTTGTTCTCTCTTTGTAGTCTTGAAAGCGTCAAGAAGTTTTGCAGCTGTTGTGACATTGCCATGTGAGTAGTAAATGCGACCGTCCAAATCCGTTATGGTCAATCTGAGATTGTGTCCTTTCTTATTTCCGTCTTGAATTGCAGCAAGTACTCCCATGAAGCCTTCTTTGTTCTTTCCTTCGTCAAAGTTTACTGTAAAGGTTTGACCTGAACCAATTTTACTTCTAACTTCACGATACTTTTCATATGCATATCTTGTTCTTTCCATGGGAGCATGACCATCCTCTGCACTACCTTTTTTCCTTCTCAAAGGATGCAATTGTTCGTCATGTTTCCAGTAGAATCTGGCAAAGCCGTCGTGTCCTTCAACTTGAGGTTCACTAACATCGAAAGGCATGTTCATAAGACGTTCTTCTTCTAACCTCTCTAGTCTGTTTGGATAATTGGCACGTGCTGTTTCCAAATCCATTTCGTAGCGAAGACCAGACAATTTGTCATAGACTTTTATGGGTCTTCCCTTCCTATATTTAAAATTCTTCGAAACTCTCCAACCATATCTTTGTAACTCTGCTTTTATTCTAGCAGACCTTCTGTCCATTCTATATGGGGGCATTTTTATAAAAATAAAAAAATATGTTTTTTTTCTTTACTTTACATAACCGCCTGCTGCCATAAGTCTTTGACGCCAACCCATACCAGCTAATGAAGGTTGACTTGGTTTAGTTTGGAAACTAAACTTTGGTTTTGGTTTATCTTCAGTTTTTGGCTCACCTTCTTCTATCTGTTTTTTGTCACTTTTTGGTTCACCTGACTTTACTTCACTTGCAGGAACAGTTGTGTCGTCAACATCTTCATAAATATCATATGCCATCTGTTTTTGTTTTCCTTTCAACTTTTTGTGTTTGTTGTAAAGTTTAGAATATTTCGACTCTAAGTCAATGAGATGTTCTATAATGAACTGTTTGTCAGTGAAGTAAACTTTTCCATCTGTTGTCTCGAAAACTCCTTCAGACTTCAATATTTTATTTGTGAGAGTCTGTTTCTTTTTTGAGATACTAGCCGTTCCATTTCTATGAAAAGTGACTTTATAGTTAGGGTTTGTATTTCCAGACCTGGCACTTTCTATTATTGAATTTTTCTCTTCATCTGTAAGTTCTTTGACAGGTTTTGACAATGGTTCTGAACTTTTTGTTTGTGGTGTCAAATCTACCGTTTCAACTTCTTCGGTCATTTCATCTCAGTAAAAATTTTAGTTTGGTTTGTTTTCAACTGGTTGTTGTTGTTTTTTAAGTCGGTCTAAAACTTCCTGAGGTATAG